ATTAGTTATTCTCTGCAGGAGGAAGGTTCCTCCAGTGGACCACTCAGCATGAGGATTCTCATGTATTCACTGGAAGCTTCTGGTCTCTGTGTGCACACAGTGAACACAAGACCTTCAGAACCAGCTGTTGACCTTGGGGAGTGGATGGCTTCTACTGCAGACACTGGGTAAGACTTTGGTCTATTTCTATGATCATTTTATAATTTCATCTGCATCCATGGATCATTCCTATTTTGCAAGGGTTCTGACTGTTTCTCCTTAGAATGGCAATTTTTCTCTTTTGTTCTCCAAGTTTTCATACTGTTCAGTAGAATTAGTCATCATACCATATGTTTCTATTATTGTGGCTAGTGCTTGACCTTCATTCATCCCTTTTCTCCTCAGAGCCCACAGAGGGGAAATCTACCAAGATCTCATAGATTTGCAGGCCTTTGATGCAGCTGGGAGATTAACTCCACACAAGCCCCTCCCATGAGCAGGACTCCTTCGCCACCAGTGACCCACAACATACACCCTGAGCCAGTGTACATCCCTGGAACTCTCCAAGCATTTGTTTTGCTGAGAGGTCTGCCCTGTTCTCAGCAGACATGATGAAGAAGGTGATAAATTTCTTATACTCGTGTGTGTGTGTGTTTGTGTGTGATCATCAGACTCCACATCTACACCACACCTGGAGGGGGAGGGGGAACCTCTGTTTACCCGTGCTATCAGTAATACTGATGCTGTGAGTATGGTTCAAGCGTATTCACACCAGGTTTTTTTCTTCCCTTGCTTTGGATTATTGATGCCGCTGTAGCCTCATGTCCAGCATGCCCTTTATGCTGCTTCTAACAAGCTTTCACATTAAGTTCGGTGGTCCTGTGATGCAAAGGGATTGCTGCTGGGACTTCTCTAAGGTTCAGTGGAGGGACATGGAGATATTTGTAATTTATTCATATTTAGAGACAACAGTAAGCAAGTGTAAGCAACTCTGTGATTTGTGCGTATTAGAATAGTTTTTTTTTCCTATTAAAAGCAAGTTTCGAATCAGAGAATGAATACGTAAGCATGGAATCATGTGAATGGGGAACCTCCGTGGGGGAAACAGCTATAAATGGAGAAGAAGGCCCAGACTCTGATGGGAAGCCTGCCCATAACCTCCATCTGCACCTGCTCCTGGGGCTGAAAAGAGAATTGGGGAGTAGCGTGCACACCCTGAGGGCTGGATCACCTCCTACAGGGAGGTATGTGTCTGGGCTCACACTGACGTCCCCTCACTGTGTCACTGGCACAGTAATACACGGCCCTGTCCTCGGCTCTCAGGCTGTTCATCTGCAGATACAGCGTGTTCTTGCTGTTGTCTCTGGAGATGGTGAATCGGCCCTTCACAGAGTCTGCATAATACATGCCACTTCCATCATAGCTAATAGCTGCGACCCACTGCAACCCCTTCCCTGGAGGCTAGCAGACCCAGCTCATGCCATAGTCACTGAAAGTGAATCCAGAGGCAGCACAGGAGAGTCTCAGGGACCCTCCAGGCTTTACCAGTTCTCCCCAAGCACCACCAGCTGCACCTCAGACTGGGCACCTGTAGACACAAAACAACCTGGTCAGGAAACTGTCACAGAACCAATCTTTCTCTCACTCAGATACTCTCATACACTCAATGTTTCTTGTTCACATAAATTACCTTATAAAAGAGCAACAAGGAAAACCCAGCCAAGTGCAAACTCCATGGTGAGTTGTCTGTGTTCTCTCCTGATCACTGAATGGGAACACCTGGGGAACCCGGGCTGGGTCTCCTCTCCCAGCTGCAAGGGTTGGGGCTCAGCTGGTTTAATCAGCAGAGGGAGGGCCCTATTTGCATATCCTCAGAATATATATTCTACTTGGGATCTATGCTGACAGAGAGGGCACTGTCCAGTGCAGGTGTGACTGCCATTGATGTGGTGCTATTGATCACTTTTGAAAAAATATCATTTACTCTTTGATAACTTTCCAGTGTATATCCTTGGCCTCCATGTACTACTTTGTTTTTACATGTAAACATAAATCTTGGGGTTTAGGTGTCATGTTCCCCCTTAAGTGATGTGAACCTATGCCTAGAATTGTGGAAGGTTTGTGAGTTGTCCAAGAGCATTTATGGGGTGAGAGTGAGCCCCAGGATAAGTTGGTGCTCCTTCCACAGTACTGTGCTGCATCCCTGACACCCCCCTTGGGACAGAGTGGGCAGGCTCATGAGGAAGGTGGAACCCCTCCTGTAATGGGGACAGAATGATTTTGCTTGTTCTAGAGTTTACCTGAAATACAGAGAGAAT